GAGAGAGACCGAGACGACAGAGACAGAAGGAGACATACAGAGACAGAGAAGAGACAGAAAGAAAGGGGCGAGGGACTTTCAGAGTGTCTGGGAAGTCAGGGTGCTGGACGTAAACAAGACCGGGGCAGTAATGTACCGATATATTTCGCGAGAAACAAATGCACCAGCGTAACAACTGCGTCAACGCTACTTTAACCATTCACAGGTTTACTGTAGCAATTGTTCGAGAAGTCATTCGCGAAGATCATGCACGGTGTCACGGACGGGAAATGATCACGTAATTGATAATAACATTCGTGTTGCCATGATCACAAACTGAAAATAATGACTATCTGGGTACAAAGATCACATTAAGTCAAAATCTCACAAACTACGGCACCACCCCCGTAAGAGCTAGCTTCAAATAAGTAGATGAGTGACGTGAATAGGCAGCGGACGTGACATGAAACGACTTCATTCTACTAACGGACCGCGAGTGCAGGTATTCAGATTCTGACAGGCAAGGTGACTTAAACCGACTGTTCGTTTCAGCACCTAAGAATCACAAGCCATAAGAAGGTCGCCAATGACGTTGAGCAATACTATCTTAAAGCATGTAGTGCAGGCACGAACCAGCATTCACTAGAGCGCACTATCCATGTGACGTACTATGCGGAGACGTGACTAGCATAATTGGCTAGTCATGACATGTGAAGGACTGCATGTGTGTCATCGAGCGGTCACACAATAACCACGGGAGACCGACTAATACTGCCCACATAGGTCGGCGCAGCGGAGAGCGGTCATCGGCAGACACGCCACCAATGGCCTGGTGTGCAGGGCGACATCGTCCTACAATCATCATGCCACTTCACGCCAACAGAGGGTGAGAGCGAGGGCTGAAGAGCTGGCCGAGAGCCCGACAAAGTCAGCGCCGTCCAGCGTGATTGCTGTGTTCGATCGGATGGGTCCGTACGACTAAAATGCTTCATTACCCGAGGCTACAGCCGTGGCGAAGACAGAGAGAAAACTAATACTGCATGGCACGCCTATGACATGCGGGCGCGGAGACTTGGACACCTCGGCGACGGCACTGTAGTCCACGTAGTACTCCGGCCTCTGAGAACCAGAGAACAGCCAGCGAGGCTCGACCCCGGCCATGAACCGGCTGCCGGAGCAGCGGGTCCAGCTCGGGCCCGGACTGCCCGCTGAGCCCCGCCGCCGGACATGAGCTCGGGCCCGCACTGCCCGAGGCAGCGGGCCCTCACGGTTCAGCTCGGGCTCGGACTCGCCGCGGCGAGTCGGCCCGCCCCGCTGAGCTCGGCCCGCCGCCGGAGCAGCGGGCCAGCCGGGCCGGGCCCGCGGACTGCCCGCGCGGAGCCGGGCAGCTGGCGACTGCCGTGAGCGCCCTGACCCGCCGCCGGAGCAGGGTCCATGGTCCCGCAGCCGCGACGCCGCCGCCGCGGAGCAGCAGGCGACTGGGTCGCCACAGCGGCAACCGGCCCGGACATGGTGCAGCCGCCCCGGTCCTCGTGGCCGTGGCGATTGTGATGTTCCCCGAGCGACCCCTACCGTGAACATGCGGGCGCAAACAAGTCTTATGTTCAGCGCTTACTCCTCATCAATGGGAACAACGATCAAATCGTATCACATAACCGTCCCTCCGGGCTTTGTTGTCGGCTTTAAAGCGCTCATGGGCACGGTCCAGTAACCTCTTGCCCACCAATACGTGCTCTGGTAGCTACCCATCCCATGGTGACCACGCTACTCCCTGCGGCACCTCTGCACACCACCTCAAGCGGAGCCGGGCGTGAGCGCGTCTCTTCGCGTCCCGAGGACCCCGAGAACGCCCCCGCGTAGACGGTGACGCGGCTCCTGGTACAGAGGGCAGACTGCTGCCTTCAATTCCGAGCGCCCACCGCACCAGCTAGCGCAGCCACGGGAGCGGAGCTCGCGTCCCTACGTCGCGGCTCCGGCACCGGCGCTGTCGTGTGACGAAGTGATGGAATGAGATGCGTAGGGTGGCGGCAGGTGATTATTGGAGGTGTGAGTGGACTATGAGGAGGCGATGTCGCGCCTCACGCGCCTACAAATTGAGCAAGGAGATTGGAGCAATACGGAGCGATCGGTACCAGACCTACAGGTACAGGCGAAGAGCCACGCGAGAAAATATAGCCGGACGAGCCTTGGACGAGTCCGGTCGCATACTCGGGCGGATACGCGTAACACGACCCCAACCGGCGGAATAATCAGGTAACTAAGCGAAAATGTGGAAGGCGACGTCCGCCAAATGTCCGGAACAGCACGAAAACCCGACGAACGGTACGGAGGCCGCAGTCCGGCGGGGGCAGCCGGGCGGACGCAGCGAACCGGGCTGCAGCGACACGGGCGGCGACCCGCGCAGTTAGCGGCAGGGCGAGGTCGACTTGAGCCGCGGCACCTGGGCCGAGTACTGCGGATTGTCCTGCAGGAAGGAGCGCAGCAGCGACGGGTAGTCTGTCATCACGCCCGTGGCGCCCAGCTCGAACGCGCGCCGGTACTCGGCCTCCGAGTTCAGCACCCACAGGTACACCTGCCGACCGCGCACCAGGTGAGGGGAGCACCACAGGTACACCTGCCGACCGCGCGCCATGTGAGGGGAGCACCACAGGTACACCTGCCGACCGCGCTCCAGGTGAGGGGAGCACCACAGGGACACCTGCCGACCGCGCTCCAGGTGAGGGGAGCACCACAGGGACACCTGCCGACCGCGCGCCATGTGAGGGGAGCACCACAGGTACACCTGCCGACCGCGCCCCAGGTGAGGGGAGCACCACAGGGACACCTGCCGACCGCGCGCCAATGTGAGGGGAGCACCACAGGTACACCTGCCGACCGCGCTCCAGGTGAGGGGAGCACCACAGGGACACCTGCCGACCGCGCTCCAGGTGAGGGGAGCACCACAGGTACACTGAAGACTAGGCGAGGGGAGCACCACACGGACATCGAGGACCAGGTCAGGGAAGCACCAGAGGTACACCTGCCAACCAGATCAAGCAAGCACCACAGAATCATGCGTCTTTTATCGGCGGGTCCGAGCCAACATCATTTCTAGCTGCCGCTTCTTCCAGGAATCCTCTGGCCTTCCGTACTAGGAAGGCCCGATATGACCAGTCGGTGGGCAGGAGGGCATTGGTCAGATTTCAGCCAGCTGGAACTATGCTGTCAACTTGAGTTTCAAAGGCAAACTGACACCAAAATAGCCTGAATGGCCTGAAATGGTCTCCCATAGTTGATACCGTCGCCCCATCCGTGGGAAACTAGGCACATCATGCGATGGCCGTGAGAGCGGCCGGCGGCGGCGACTTCGGCCGCCGCGCCCGCACTGCCCCACTATCTGGGGGCACATTTATTGCCGTCAACATAAAACGCCATTGGTGGAGACAATCCGCTGAAAAGCTACCAAAGCGATGCCTACCATTCCCTCCTGCTGAGGCCAATAGCACGCCCGCCAGTCCATCTGGACGAACATGTCATAACATTCATGTCATGCCATAATACCCATGTGTACCATTCTTTGCATATAATTGCATGTACGTATACCATTCCATGCATAATATTCCAGACACATTGTATGTGTCCTGGCATAATTCCACTCAGGTCATTCCATCCATACCATTCATGGAAGCAAACTTCTCTAATTTGGAAGCTTTGCAGCCCATTTTTGCCATGGGTGGCGTGGCGTGCGTCGCGCCCCTACCGTCCGCGCGGCTCTCACCTGCATGCCGCGCCGGCGCAGGTGGTTCAGTATGAACGGCCGCATCATCAGCTTATCCGCCAGCCACACGGGAAACTTGGCCCACGCGCTGTTGGCGAACCTGCCGAGACGGTGCCGTCTCACCACAGGCAGCGTGGAGGAAGGCGATGGGGAAAGCGCGCAGGTGGAAATACCCCTCAGGTGAACAGTCAGGTACAGCAGCGCATTTTCAAATCTACCCGGTATGACTTCTACATCCGTCGTTCCATTAAACATCCGTCATTCCATCACGCAATGGCGACTTAAACTAAGGCCGCATCGGTGCACAATGCGCTTTTTTCATGTCAGGCTAGCGTCGATGAAGACGCCTGAGATCCGGACATTGAAGACAACAAGTTGACTCTCAGGCCATCTTTTTCCAAATGAAAGTTTAAGCAGGTCAAATATGACTCTGAGCACTAACCAGTACCGCAATCCGGAATTTCTTGGTCTTACGCGGTTCTGTCACGAGGGCATAAAAGGCACTTCCGTCTCCGAACTCATGGGTAGAGCACAAGCCGCCGTGCCAGAAGCTGGTGGGGCTGCGGGGCCAGGCGCCCATGGGCACATCCTGCTGCGCATGACCGGGTCGCAAGCAAGCCGCCGCTGTGCATGACCGGGTCACGAGCGAGTCACCGTTCACGGTGTTTCTGCTATCGCCACTCACCGGTACAGTATGCTCGGCATGGGCACTTCGAAGAACGTCTCCCTCAGCGGAAGGAACGGCAACAGGCCCACGTAAGCAGATAACACAATCTTGACAACACAGCTTGCTGAGCAGAGCAGCGGGATGCTCGGGTCCTGAAACAGGCAGGGTACCTCAATCAATGTCGGGGATTGCCTTTTGACTGGTCACCAAAACAAACTGCATCTAACCAAAATGAACCCATACCACAAAATTGGATGAGTCACGTCCAACGTGAACATTTCACCACCGATTGGATTATTGCCACCAATATGGACACTTTCACCACCGACTTAACGAAGTCGTTCATCTTAATGCTAATTTAGTCGCCAGATACACGAATAAAAAATCCAGAAAGAACATGATCTGCATTTAGGTGATGGAGGTGACCATTTGGGTCGTCCAATTAATTTTGTCCAGATTACCGACCCACGGATGCATGCTTGCAAGCACACACATGTTCGGACTCTCACAGAAGCGAGGGAGCGCTTACATATGACAAGCACGAGTGAATACGTTCATTGTGTTGTTCAGAGTGACTGAGATGATATCGTCAGCAAACGTAGCTGTGCTCGTAATGAAAACAACGAAATATATGACGATAGAGGTACGGGTGCAGGTACCTTCGCACATATGCCGTACAAAGGCATTTCGACGACACCCTGTGCCTTTCGCCAGTGGCCGTGCCTCAGCACGTTAGTCGTCGTCAGTCGTCGAACGTCAGTTCGAGCTGCAGCGTCCGCGTGCCGTGGGTCACCTGTTTGTAGCACTTGCTGGTGACGGTGGCGGAGCGGTTTCCCCAAACGGTCAGCCGCTGCCGTCCGAACTCAGACACCATCTGGCCGACGGACGCGATCAGCCGGTCGCTGTCCACCTTGATGTCGACGTTGATGGGCGTGTCGGGGAAGCGCTGGAACACGTGTCGCAGCAGCGGCATGCGCCGGTCCGGCCAACCCGAGGCGTCGAACACCCGACCTGGCAGGCGGGGTCAGGCAGCCGGGTCACAGGGGCTGCCGGTCCGGCGAGCGGCTGCACCACCCGGCCCCGGTACACCTTCGTGTAGTGGTGAGGTCTTCGGCCGCCACACGGCTTGGATCTGCGCGCGAAATATCCATCGAAAGTTATTGGCTCGTCGCGGCCTTTTTACGGGCCGATGTCATCCCCAATGCATTCGCTGTTAATCGCCGGACGGCCATGCCGGCGGCATCAATGCTGTGGCGTGCGTATCGCCTAAAGAATGCATCGTACCGACCACCATAACCACCCTCATCCCCCCTCCCCATCAGAGTCCCCTGCACCACCCCAATCCAGCAGCTGGCGCTGGCGTCCCGTGGCCCGCGACCTGGAGGTGCGCCGCAGGGCCGCCGCCGCCCTTGGCCGGCCGCCAGCGGTGCGGTCCTCCGCCCCACGCCGCCGGCGTCCGCTCACCGGGCACGAAGTCGAGCGGCAGCTGGTGCAGCAGCGGCGGCAGCTCGTCGTAGTCCAGCTCGGGGAAGGTGACGCCCGGCCGGCCGGCGCGCCGCAGGTCCGAGTCGTGCGCCACCACCACCCGGCCGTCTCGCGTCAGCTGACAGTCCAGCTCCAGCATGTCCGTGCCGCACTCCTTCACCGCGCTGCCAGCCGAAAGCGGCGCGTGCACTTATGTCAGAAGGGCGGCGGGGCATGATCTGATAATCGGGGTGGTGTTATTCTCATGTGTTTGCGGTCACTATCTGGTCCATTGCTCTGCGTCCGTTTGCAGTAATTCGGTGATTGTCATGGTGTCGTAATGAGTGCACATCGCACACGAGACCTCGACATACTGCATACGGCGGTGGAACAGCCTGAGCTTATGGAAGGCGTTATGGAAGGCCCGTCGCTGCAGACATCGGGCGCAGCATAACCCGAGTACATAATGACGTTCCATGACATGCTTGTACTTTCCATGGCTTGCTTGCAACTAAATAACAGAATGGATAGTACACTTACTATTCAAACGCAGTCAACGTGTTTTCTGTGCGTTCCCCCGCACCTGGAAAATAAGGCAGACATAAGGCTTTTGCAACCACTCCACAAACAGAAATAGTAAGCCCCAGCCACTAGATGCACCAAGTGTGCCAGCAGTAAGCACACCTCAAACACAGTGAAGCACACCTTACTCAAGGCACATCATCTGTCCCGAAGCATTAGAAAGCATGCATCACTAAGGACTTCCCTGTCACCATCTGGTTTTGTTGTTTGTACCCTTTTACTCTGAACTAAAGGCACACAATCCCCATCAAATTTTGTCTTGTGCCTCCAAAACCACTGGGATCTACATCCCTGGTG